TTCTCGGCCATAATCCTCAACACACCAACAACCAATACGGAAACAAATGAAGAATAGATCCAAAACTGAAAAAAGAAAGAAGTTTTACCGAAAAGATCCCACCTTTCTCACCAACTGAAACCCTAGACGAGCTTCCCAAATCGATCTACTCCTCTAAATAGCCCAAGCGTGGCCCGAGCTCTGATACCACTTGTTGTGCCAAAAACTGTGTCGAGGAACCAAACCAAACGCCGATCCAAGAGGGCCAAAACCAACCAAACTATCAATGCATAAACAAAACACCAATTTTAACGTGGTTCGGCAAATTGCCTACATTCATGGGGCAAGAAAGGGGATGAAGTTTTCACTAATAGAGAAATAGTACAAACTGATATCACAACTCACTCGAAGGAACAAACTAATCTCACCAACAAGCTCTTAATCTCTCCAAACAAAACCCTAAACAAATAGCTCAGAAAATACTTTTTTTCTGTGCTCCAAATATCCCCAATTTGCTTCTCCAAATTCTCTCTTTTAATTATTCCATATATAGAAATCCTAAAATCATAAACATACTAGGAATTCTAAACCAAAAGCCAAATCAAATTAGGAATCCTAATAACCTATTACCAAAATAGATTAGGAATCCTAATAAACTCATGTTACCAAAATAGATTAGGAATCCTAATAAACTCATGTTACCAAAATAGATTAGGAATCCTAATAACCTCATGTTACCAAAATAGATTAGGAATCCGCTATCCAACAGATCACCCATTTCTATAAGGGTGATTCTAATAGGATTCATAGTGCATGACCAGGGACAATGGGTTATTTTCCATCTTTGGATGCACCACCTCGTAATAAAAACTTAACATAAGCGTGATGCTTGTTTTTTTTGTTCTATATAGTATTTTTGTATTCGTAGCCCCCTAATTAAGTTTGAGATGTACAAAGTAACTCCCGTTTCGAATTAGACTAAGCGCGCAAAAACTATTGCTTGATATGAGAAGAGTGAGTCCTGGTCCGCATAGATTTTGCTGATCACGGAAGGTTTCTTTCCGCTACAATGAACTCACTCCATTTTCTTCCTCTTGTTAAGTTTTTCAGTAATCATAAGCTAAGTTTGAAGTTGATGATGAGAGTGAAAAAACCACAAGTGTTTCCGGGAAATAATGAGCTCAAATTATACAATTTCACACGCAATCATTATCAATTTACAATATTTTCAATAGCCGCATTCCATAAAAAATCCGCAACCAATAGTATCTTTATACAACCCATCCAACGCAAGAGGGAAACACACGAAGGCAAAAACATGACAATATGAATAAAGAAACAAACAGAAGATCACAAACCCATTCCCACCAACGCAGTCTTAGAAGCCAGATAACCCCGAAGCCACCAAAAGGAAGAAGAAGAGAGAAGGGGGGAACACTGCTGAGCTCCTGATCGACGATGATGCTTGGCCTTTATTATCTGCCTTTGATCCCCCTGGAGCTGGAGGAACTCCTTTTGTCGAAGGAGTCGAGTCACTGGGAGGCGAGATGCCAGCTGGCGCGGATGGTGTCGCTGGGGTTGCTGATGAAGGAGGGGTGGCATCTGGTGGTGTTGTGGCA